AGTTTAAAGACCACTGTACTCTAAACTATATATGTTTAATTATAAAGATCTAACTAATTCAATCGTTTCCCTAAAAGGAAATAAAATATATAAATCATATAACTGTTAGATTAGACGGTTTCGGGCCTAGTTTGGATTGTATATCAATTTTTAAATCGGAAAGACATCAAGAGAAAAGTGCCCTTTCTATATTATAAATTATATACTGTCGGAAAATGTACTACTACATTAATATTACTCTTCTTAATTGCTTGCAAAAGTTTCTGTTCAATTTTAAACAATATACAGTTCTGAATTCAGATCTCGTATAAATCGTGTTTTGGTATATTTGAATCAGCATATTATACTAAGCAAAACGAAGTGAAATATTATTTCCCGTTCAAGACATAAACTCATTTAGGGTATCCGACTAAGTTCGGAACCGTGATTTTGCAAAAGCGTATAAATGGATAATATTTATGATGTTTAGTGTCACTTAGATTAGAAAATGTATATAAAATTGTTTTAAGAATAGTATTAAAATAAAAGATTATATATATTTAAGTACAATATTTTTTTTTTGACAAAAAATGAACATAGAATGACCCATTTTCAAAATATTCTCCTTTTGTGAAAAATGCTTCTATTATAATAATATTTTGCCTGTATATAGCTCAGACCTCTTTATAGAGGCTCAACTAGAATTTTTAAAATATATAACTTAGAAGTGGGTTTATCCATGTTTTACGACAACAGAGGGGAGAAATTTTAAGAAAAAAAAAGCCGATAATATTATTTCAATGGATTGTAACTCTGAAAATGTGAATTTTTCAAAAGTCCTAGTTCAGACTCTCTGGAGAAGTTTTTACTTTATATAAGCACACACACACACAAAATATTATTATTTTAGAAGCATTTTTTATAAAAGGGAGAACATTTTGAAGAAAGGTTATTCTAAGTTAGTTTTTTGCCGAAGTATTGAATTTAAATATTTTTTTTTTTATTTTGTCAAAATGTCCTTAAAACAATTTTATATATGTATTCTAATTCAAGTGACACTAAATATCATGAAAATTATCCATTTATGCGCTTTTTTAAAATCACCATTCCGAACGGGAACCTTAAACTCTCGTTTACTAATCAAATGATTTGTGAAAATATATTTTGGTTTATTTATTTTTAATTTTCTTGTAAATTGTTTGGTAATCATATTTATATAATTTCAATTAATTCGTTTAAACAAATCGTTTGATAATTATATTTTTATAATTTCAATTAATTCGCTTAAAAAATCGTTTGTTTAATTATATTTACATAGTTTCAATTAATTCGTTTAAGTAAATCGTTTAGTAATTATATTTATACTACTTAAATAAATTTATTTAAATAAATCGTCTGCTTTAACTGTTAAACTGTAACTCTTTTTGTAACTGTGTTGTAAAATAAAATCAGCGAAAAAGAACAATGGGTTAAATTCATGTGAGATCACAGCCCCAATCACTTTATTAATTCAGAGGACATCATAGTCACATGATAAAAATAATCAGTTGTGTGCTTTGCTGTTGCCAACTGTTGCTTTTTGCAAAAACTTTCTTTTAAAAAGTATATTTTTGACTAATAATAATGCACATATGTAAATAAAATACACTTGATTTAAAAATGTAATTATAATATAATGTTTTTAACTTTGAAACTTTTTGAAAAATCTTAATACTGCAACATATTTATTCAACTATCAAATTGAATTTTTATTTTAATTTTACAAGCAGAATACATTGTCTAATTTCAGTTTTAAATTCAGCAGAAACCCATGATTGACTTTTTATCATATGACCGTCTTGAATTTGGCCCATTCTAAAGTTCATGTTTTGTCTTAGAGTTCTCACCAAGGTAAGACTCGTAGCCGGCGTGTCATGAGTTCGAGTCTAGTGTCGCTGAAGACCCACTATGTAGGGGAGCAATGTACGTTAAATCTTTCGAGAGCTCAAACGTCCTCCTGTTGGTGTGGTAGTTAGGCGAGGGGGAGTGCCAGCTCAGGTGTGATCCTCGTCACTTGACCATGGTTCAAAATTATGAGGTCCGTCATCAAAAGCCCTAGAGTAGATGAACAGTGAGACGTTAATATTCATTCGCTCACTTAGTTTTCAGCTATTATTTATCTGTCCTGCATCTTGTTGCAATACTTTTAAAACAAAGGCTGTGTTCTATGTAAAGGTGCTTTGTTTCTAAAGAAGCTGATCTACTATAGAGAACAGAAGTTAGTATGTTGTGAAGGAAATTAAGTCTTCGAAAAGAAAAAAAAATGAACGATTAAAAAATAAATTCATCGGGAGAAAAAATACATTTGGTCCAAAAGAAATATGAAGCAACGAAAATGGGGAGGGGGGGACCATTGATCTAAGAAGATCGTAGAAGAGATAAGGATCTGGATAAACAAATACACCCTTGCAGGAGATTTCGACACAAATTCTATAACCGGACAAGGATTTTATTGAGGGTTTTTAAATCATCAGTTTAGAATTGCGAAAACAAATCGAAAACATAATACGACACTTGCAAAGCAACAGTCGACACTGTATTTCCAACAAAAGTATGAGAACATCGTAGAATCAGGCATATAACCCACGCCTTTCCTTTTAGGCTGAAACTTTTAATTTTTTGGTATATTCGCCGTATAATGCTCACCTCCCTTCTTTTTACGAAGAAACCTAAAATGTACATGGGCAGTGGTCTATTGTTTTTAACTCATGTATTCGAGGTATTACTCCAAGCTTTACGGAAAAAATGGTATACTTCTGGAAATACAACCCTTTAAGTTCATAAGGAATGTCATTCTTTTTTTAAATAAACAGTATTTCAATGTATGTAGAAAAATATTTTTAAAATCATTGCTTTTTTAATTTATTTATTTTTAAAGCTATCACTTTTATACCCGGCGTATAACACGAGCTCGTAAATTTCAATCTTATTTTTTGTGGATATATGGTATTCGTACAAACAATAACCAGAAACAAATAACTGTGCTAGACTTACAATCGCATTGACCGGTTCGACCGACTACAGCCTTTTGATTGAATGAATGAATAATAATGATGATGCAATGGTGGTAGGTGGTAGGTCCAAGGCCTATACATGAACCATGGTCGTCACATGCAGACAGTTGATATATCATCCGAAATTCCCAGTTTTTGATAATACAACCGAAAATAGAAAGCCTAGAGGCTGAGTGGTAGTGTATCGCGCTTCTACGTTTTAGGTCTGAGGTTCAAATTCTGGGTTGAGCAAGGTCGACTCAGTCTTTTATCCCTTCAGTGAGTCAATAAAGGTCAAGGTTGTTTCGGTCAAGCCGTCAGTCTGACACAAAACCTAAGGGGTTTTGTGTCAGACTGACCACTTGACCGAAACATCTGCAGATGCACCCAGTGCCTATGGTCTGTAAACTGAGATGGGCACAGTAGGCCTTGGCCCTCATGGGCTGTTGCACCAATGAGTTCAGTTCAACCGAAAATAACATTTGACTGATGAAATTATACGAATCGTGATCTTATTGTAACTGAGTCGAGAATGAGACAAGGCGTCCATTGTGGTGAGGCCCTGGGCACGGGCCTAGTTGGCCCATGCCTTTAGACGTCCCTGCTGTGGAGGAAACTTTGCGTAACGGATTTTTAAAATGTTGATCCAATCTAAATTGATCAGTTGTCTTGAAATAGCTGCAACATTTCCACTGATGATGGGCCTCGTAGCTTAGAACCACAGTCATATGTTGAATTTCCTCGAAATACGGTTGATTATTCTTGCATCTATATTTCAAAATGTTGCTGCAAATCTAAATTAATGTCTCCTCAGTATTGCGACAATGAAGTAAAACGGTTGCTCTTTTGTATAATCTAAGTTATTAAGAGCTTATTCTTTGTGGTTAGCATTGCATCGAAGTATGGAACATGTATTGCTTCAAAGTTATCTGATTTACAATGTGCTTAAATTATAAAAGTACCCTGATAATTAATCATAAAGATAATTTATTTCTAAACATATCATATTAAATTAATGTTCCTAAACTTTTTGTATGCTTATTACAAGCTTTTATTTAACTTGCAATGTAAAATGTTCGGGTGGAATCTTGCTACTCAATTTTGAAGCTGATGTCTTCAACCGATTGAGCTAAAATTTGTATACACGTTTAGTTTGGATGACAATGAATGTTTTGATCATTTATATCCCGATATCGCAATTAGATAAAAATATATTAATTAAAGTAATTTGTTCGGGTGGAATCTCTCTTGCAACTCAATTTTGAAGCTGATGTCTTCAACCGATTGAGCTGAAATTTTGTATACACGTTTAGTTTGGATGGCAATGCATGTTTTGACGATTTATATTCCGATATCGACCTTGTTAATGTAACGATCTTGTTCAGGTGTTAAGGCGAGCATGTCTACAATAATAAAGGTGTGGACTGGGGGCGTAGTTCAGATGGTAGAGCACTTTCTTAGCATGCGGGAGGTACAGGAATCGATACCCCGCGCCTCCAATTATTATTTTTTGGTGTAAAATATTTTATAAATTCATTTGATTTGTGTACAATGGGTTATTTTACAATACTTCCACTCATCATACGTACTAAGTATGCTTTATTTTTGCAAGCTTTTATTTAACTTGCAATGTAAAATGTTCAGGTGAAATCTTGCAACTCAATTTTGAAGATGATGTCTTCAACCGATTGAGCTGAAATTTTGTATATATGTTTAGTTTGGATGGCAATGCATGTTTTTACCTCTTATATTCCGATGTCACAATTAGTTAAAACTATATTGATTAAAGTAATTTGTTCGGGTGGAATCTCTTGCAACTCAATTTTGAAGCTAATGTCTTCCATCAATTGAGCTGAAATTTTGTATACATGTTTAGTCTGGATGACAATGCATGTTTTGACCATAAATATCCCAATGCCGACCTAGTTACTGTAACGATCTTGTTCAGGTGTTAAGGCGAGCATGCTTAAAATAAGAAAGGTGTTGACCGGAGGCGTAGCTCAAATGGTGGAGCTCTCACTTAGCATGTGAGAGGTAAGGGGATCGATACTCCGCTCCTCCAATTATTATTTTTTCGTGTAAAATATTTTTGAAATTTGTTTGATTTGTACAACGAGGTATTGTACAATACTTCCACTCTGTATACGTTCAAAGTATGTTATAGTTTACAAGCTTTTATTTAACTTGCTATGTAAACTGTTCGGGTGGAATCTTGGAAATCAATTTTGAAGTTGACGTCTTACACGATTGAGGTGAAATTTTGTATACACGTTTAGTCTGGATGACAATGCATGTTTTGAACATTTATATTCCGGTATCGCAATTAGTTAAAAAGGCTAGCTGCATAGCCCGGTGTTGCGTGGGCTTTCTCTACTTTTATAACTTCCCTTTCTTTCACAAAATCAGTACTTCTAACACACTTTTTCAAAATGATTTCCACCCCTACCCTTCCTCCGCTTAGCCCGGCATTGCTCGGGCTTTTACCGAGTGTGTACCTTAAAATTCCCTGTTTGGAAATTTTTTCGCTTCTTTTCTTTGTCAGACAGGTTTTTTCCCCCCTCGGCGTTGCATGAACATTTTTAATATTGCATAATATATTGTCATGGAAATTCCCCTTCCCGGGTGGATTCTCGCTAAGCACTCTGCTTGGCAACAAAAATTTTGGCGCCAAAATTTTTGCGATAAAGTTTACAATAGGGCAACCCTTCTAGATTGTCCAGCCCTGTGGCTAAAATATGGCAACCCCAAAACCGGTCAAGCAAAAAAATACGGGGGATTTTCGCCCTTGACCGCTGCAACACGTCGAGTTCACCCCTGCGCTTACTTTCTTTCCCACGTGTTCCAATTTTTGGCTTGATTTTGCAACGGTTGTTAGAATGGCTTGCGAAAGAAAATTGCTTGAAAGTGAGGCAACCACAGGATTTTTTGTTTTGCTTGAAGAACAAGGAAATAAGTCTGTTTTAGATTGGGTTATGAAATAAGGATTAATTCCCTCCAGATATGAGTGTCCAAAGTGTAAAAATGATATGCATTTGGTTGAACGAAAGGGTACGATTGATGGTTTTGAATGGCGTTGTCGAGTGCAGTCGAAAGAGAATCCCCACTTTGTTTGCCGGTTGATTGATTGAATATTAACGTCGCACTGTTCAGCTACACGAGGGCTTTTGGCGACGGACCACGTAATTTTGAACCATGGTCAAGTGACGTGGACGACACCTGAGCTGGCCCCGCCTCTCCTAACTACACACCACACCAACGGCAGGATGTTTCAGCTCTCGATAGATTTAACGTGCATCGCTGCCCTACACGGCGGGTCTTTAGTGGTACTGGGCTCGAACTCGTGACAAGGCAAGCCACGATCCGATACCTGTACCACTCGGCTACCGCAGCCACATTGTTTGCCGGAGTGTAAGATAACATACGTGGTTTAGAGATAGTTTTGAAAATGCTGTTTTTCCTTTATTTTACTGCCTTTATCTCGTAGAAATGCTCTTTTTGCCCTTTTCCTTATTTTATGCTTTTGTGTATATACATGTGTTTTCAGCGTCCCTGACGCCATTACGGAAACCCCATTTTTTAGGATTTTCGAACAGGAGCTGACACCGTCACCCCCTTTTCTTCGTTTCCGGACCTGACGTCATTACGAAACCCCCTTTATTTTTAGGGTTTTGGATCACCAGCTAAGACCGTCAACCCCCGATTTTTCCTGGATTTCGTCCATGACGTCACTTTTAAAAATACGGGATTTTGGCGCCATTTGGCGAAAAAAAATGGCGTAAAAAAACAGCAGTGTGCCAGGCTAGGATTTTACCCCCCTTCCCCTCTCACTATCAGAGCTCTCGAGTAAGTGGACATTCGGCGATTTTTTAAGCACCTTGACACGTGCAGCCATCTAGTGGTACAAAAAGTAATGAATTATTGCATAAAAAAAATTCGTTAAAAAAAGTTTTCGACATTTTATTTTTTAAATCAAGAACTATAAAAGATTAAAGTGTGAGTTTTTTAAAAATCATTTCTAAATAAATGCATCGATATTGATTCCTTTTAGAAAAAATCATAAAATATGTAAAGTATCGTTGTTTTGTAAAAAAAGAAAAAAAAAATACTCTATCGTGACGAAATAAACTTTCTTTCCAATTACAAAATTGCTGGTTAAGCTATTAAAAGCGAATGAGAGATTTTGAGTATCTTTTAAAAAATCATAAAAACTAAGCGATGATGTTGTTTCGAACCCGGGTACAAAAGTTACTAATCCAGAGTTCTCAGCGATGGATCCCTGAAATCTGGAAAAAAAGAAATAAAAGACCTTTAAAATAAAAGGAAGAGATATTCAATTTCGCATTGTGTTATTTGTTAAAGTTTAAATTTTTTTTCGGGCTTCATTTTTAAGTTAATGCTTTCAAACAGCATATATCGATTGCAAACAAACTAATTCTTAAACAAAAAGGAACAAAAATAATGTTTAAATATTTCTCATAAAAATGGAAAAAAACGAAAAACACATTTTTTTTTACCGTAATTTTTGATAAATTTTTTCAGTCTTTGTACAGATTACAGGTAATATCGTTCTACACACGAAAAAAAATATTTCATTATATTATTTTTATAAATAAAGAAATTATTAAGTATTTTAAAAAAATTTCAGTATTTTTTGAAAAATCGTAAAAAAAAAGTTTTATTTTTTTAAATGACTGATAAGAAAAAAGCATGAATTTTATTACTGTAGAATACCATTTCATTAACGTGATAGAAAATGCAATCGGAACGATTTAGAAATTATTTTATATAAACGTATCGATTTTGACTCAAATTAGAAAAATCGTAAAAATAAATATCATATTATTTTGTAAAATAAATTATACCGCATCGTGGCGAAGTAAATGATCTTTCCGATTCTGCAATTATTTTTTTGTCTGAGTCTCATTAAAAAAAATTAGATCGTGTTTTATAAAAACGTCTGGGATGAGAAAAGAAAAAAGTTCGGAAAATTGGAACTTCACCGCCTGGCGGGAAAAAATGGCAATAATTATGCGTTTTAAGGTTTTAATCAATATCTTTAACTAATTATACTTTCTGAAATTAAACGGTCAAAACGGGATCCTCGGATCATTCCCGACCTTTAGGTACCTTCGGCGAGTTTCTGCGTCGTACGATTCGTGAGAAGATACACCTAGTCGTATAGTCACACACGTTTGTTTACCTTCGAATTTTAATAGTGTAGATATTAATTAAAGTAATATTTTCAGGTGGAATCTTGCAGCACAATTTTGAAGCTGATGTCTTCAACCGATTGAGCTGAAATTTTGTTACACGTTTATTTTGGATGACAATGCATGTTTTGATGATTAATATTCCGATATCGCAATTAGAGTTAAAAAGATGTTAATTGAAAACCTTTTACCCTTGTTAGCTTTTTATTCTGCCAAGCAGCTTATGGGATTGAGTTTAAAGAAGTTCCGATTTTTCGACCTTTTTCAAAAATCATCTTTTTCTTTCTATCAAACTGAGACAAAAAATAAATACCTAATCCGAAAGATCACTTATTTCGCCACGATAGGATATAATTCTTTTTAAAAAATAGTGATATTTTATATTTTTTACAATTTTTTCTAAAATGATTCAAAATCGATGCGCTTTCATAAAAGGATTTCTAAATCATTCCGTATGATTTTTTTCGTGTTGTTGAACTGATATTCTGCACCGAATAAGTTCAGGCTTTTTCTTTAGAATCAGTCATTTAAAAATAAAATGCTTAAAACTTTTTTTACGATTTTTCAAAAAATACTTTAGTTTTTTAATAAAACTTATAAAACTGTTATTTTTAATTATAATCGCACGAAAATATTTTTTCGTTTGTAGATTACTATTATTCAAGTTTTGCATAAAATTTAAAAAATTTGTTTAAAACTACGGATTTAAAAAAAGTTTTTTTCTTTTTAATATAGTATTATTGTAAAATCCAGGTGAGATTTACCTGTGTAGTTAAACAAGCAAATTAAATAACGTGATCTGATTGATTTTAATTTTGAAAATTTTCAAACTCATTAAATACGAGTACTTAAATCTCGCGACAAGCTTTTATATCATAAATTGTGTAACGACTTTATAAGTTGACAGCAAATAAAGTTTTAAAAGAAAAGTTTATTTTATTCTTTTTAGAGCATTTAAATAAAAGCTTGTTTAAAAATTTTTTACTTTTAATTTATTAAAATAAATAATTGAGTGAAAAAAATAATGCAAGTTGAATTTCTCCAGAGTAAAAATGTAACACAATTTCTGTATTCATATTTAAGTAATATAACTTCGTCCTTTTATAAAACTCTTTTGTAAGTGATTAATGTGAATTCCAGTTACTATTTCTGTCTTTGTATATTTTTGCAAATGTCTTACTGTGGGCTCGGTAGACTAGTGGTTAAGGTCACGGATTCACGGCTGGCATGTCATGAGTTCGAACCTAATACCGCTGACTAGCCATACAGAGGGGGCTGATGCTTATTAAATACGTCGAGGCTCAAAGGTCTTTCTCGAGGCTTTCGTTGATGTGGCAGTTAGAAGAAGAGTTTGCCAGCTCAAGTGTCGTCCTCGTCTCTTGATCATGTTCCGTCGCCATTAGTCCTCGTGCAGCTTTATAGTACAACGTAAATATGACTCCCTCACAAATGGTTTTACTATCTTAAAGGCTTGCCCTTTTATTGAATAAATATTTTGATGCAACAAAAGACGATTTAAATTTATTTTTGGCATCTTATTGCTTCAATTTTAATCACACACACACATGATATATTAAACTACTTCAAACCTAACTTAAAATAAAATAATAAACAAGAAAGTATCTAGACCATACAGAACAAATTAAAATACCATACGAAGTTATAATTGATAAGTAGGATTTTCTGAAAGTCTTCTTGTGGCTGCGGTAGCCTAGTGGGGTCAAGGTAACGGCCTCGTGGCTGTCGTGTCATGAGTTCGAGCCTAGTACCGCAGAATACCTGCCCTGTAGGGGTGATGCATGTTAAATTTGTCGTAGCTCAAACATCCTCCCGTTGGTGGGGGGGAAGTTAA